AGAAAGGTGTTTCTAAGGATCTTTTGAGGACCTGAGGGTGTGGATTTTCAGGGTCTAAATGTTTTAAAAGCAATAATCCGGGGTTTTCTTCAGCTCAAATAGCAAAGCTGAGGTGGAGCTTTAGTGAGCTCTAGGCCTGGGAGGTGATTTTCTACTTGCTTAGTCACTAGGAGGTGATTTTTCTGCCTCCTTAGTCACTGCCTGGGATGAGCTATTTCTGGTTTCACACTTAATGGCATAAAAAGTGTTATTTCTGGTGGGTCAGAGCCTGTGGCTACATCAGCCCAGTGCTGAGAGAGCCACCAGGAGCTCATAGCTCCCCTTTCTCCCTGCAGATCCATGCCTACAACCTGGAAACCAACACCTGGGAGGAAATTGCCACAAAACCTCATGAGAAAGTTGGTGAGTTTGGAATGTTCTTACCTGTAAAGCAGAGAGTGGCCCCCAAGTGCTTGAAGGTGCTTTTCTTGCTCAGTGTGTGGCTTTATGGTGGCTTTGAGGTGCTGCTTGTGCCATAGCAGTGAGGATTGAGCCATCTGAGGGATGTTTGGCTGGATGGATCCATTCCATCCTGGCTGGGGAAGGTGGTAGTGGCTGGATCTGCTCCCAGGAGTAGATTCACATCATCACTGCTCCCTCTGAGGCACCACATTCTCTCCTGGTTAGCAGCAGGGCTTAACCTCAGAGGTCCTTAGCTGTTGTTCTCCACCAAACAACTTGAAAGCAACTTGAGTTGATCCTTTTTTTTTCCTTCTCAGGTTTCCCAGCAGCCAGAAGATGCCACAGCTGTGTCCAGATCAAGAATGGTAAGATCTGCATCTGGAAAACTGGTGTATCTTGGACAATCAGTGACAATATTGATGCTCTGTGGTCAAAGGTGCAGAGATACACCAGGGTGTATCTCTTAGGAGTGCTAGTTGTGCCTCTAAAGGTCAGGCAGGAGCTGGGAGATGTTTCTTGCTTCATCACCAGGACTTTTGCCTCTGAGGTGAGAAGTTGGGCAAAGCCAGGAGCAAGGTAGGACTAGGAGTCAGGATTGAAGCTGTTCCACATGGGTTTAAACCACTGGAATCTGCCCAGCCCCATGCAGGTGTGAGCTCAGGTTAGTTGAGGCCTAGCACAGCTTCTAAAAGTGGGAGAGAACTCCTGATTCCAGTGGTATTTAGCCCTGAATTGCCATGGTGGGATCATGGGCATTGGGCAAAGCCAGGAGCAAGGTAGGACTAGGAGTCAGGATTGAAGCTGTTCCACATGGGTTTAAACCACTGGAATCTGCCCAGCCCCATGCAGGTGTGAGCTCAGGTTAGTTGAGGCCTAGCACAGCTTCTAAAAGTGGGAGAGAACTCCTGATTCCAGTGGTATTTAGCCCTGAATTGCCATGGTGGGATCATGGGCAGGTTTGACAGGACACAAGGACACAGGGAATGGCTTCAAACTGGCTAGATGGGATATTGAGAAGGAATTCCTGGCTGGGAGGGTGATGAGGCACTGGCACAGGTTGCCCAGAGCAGTTGTGTCTGCTCCATCCCTGGGAGTGTTCCAGGCCAGGTTGGATGGGGCTTGGAGTAACCTGGGCTGGTGGGAGGTGTCCCTGGGGTGGAACTGAATGCACTTTAAGGTCCCTCCAACCCAAACCTTCTGTGATTGTCTAAGCAGACTCTGCTTGTGCTGGGATGGATTTGGGAGATCCTGAGAGCTTGTGTTGAGGTCAAATAATTGCTGATCCCCAAACTGGTTTAGAAGATGATCCCTGACCTCTCTCACCACATGTTCTGCTGGTCCTTCATGAGGTCTGACTGGGCCTGAGCTCACTGTGGGTCTCCTCTCTTCCAGACGTGTTTGTTTGTGGAGGCTACAATGGAGAGGTGATCCTGGGAGATGTTTGGAAGCTCAGCCTCCAGACTTTCCAGTGGGTGAAGCTCCCAGCTGCCATGCCAGAACCGGTGTACTTCCACTGTGCTGCTGTCACCCCAGTAAGTGACCGCTCCTATCCCACAAGTAGGAATCATTTCATCCAAGCTCTCTGAGGCTGTAAATAGAGCTGAGCTGATGCTTCCAAGGAAGTGACCATCACTGGGTGCAGCATCTTTTGGAAAGCTGAGGTCACTGCATTGTTTTCTGCAGCTGTTTAAGGAGAGGTTTTACAACCTCTGCTATGAAATCAGGCTAGGAGAGCTGGGGGTGTTCACCCGAGGAAGAGAAGCTCCAAGGAGACCTGAGAGCCCCTTCCAGTGCCTAAAGGGGCTCCAAGAGAGCTGCAGAGGGACTTGGGACAAAGCCTAGAGGGACAGGACACAGGGAATGGCTTCAAACTGACTAGATGGGATATTGAGAAGGAATTCCTGGCTGGGAGGGTGATGAGGCACTGGCACAGGTTGCCCAGAGCAGTGGTGCAGAAGACCCAGTTTGGTCCATCCTGACTGTGTCCTTAGCACTCTGTGCTGTCCCAGTTTGATCCATGCCCTAAACTCCCTGTCTTCCCATCCAGGCTGGCTGCATGTATGTCCACGGAGGGGTGGTGAACATCCATGAAAACAAAAGGACTGGCTCCCTGTTCAAAATGTGGCTGGTGGTTCCCAGCCTGCTGGAACTGTGTTGGGAGAAGCTCCTGGAATACTTCCCTCATCTAGCAACTCTCTGCAGGGCTCAGCTCTTGCACCTTGGACTGACACAGGGACTTGTGGAGAGGCTAAAATGAGAACATCTCCTGCTTCTAGCCAAGAAGCAGCCCCTTCCCACCCTCTATTTATGGATACCATGGATGGTCTTGCAAGGAACATGGAGGAACCTGCTCAAGGCCTTACTCAGCAGATTCATTGATGCCTTTCTAGAGACTTTAAGTCAGTGGAAAAAGAATCCGCTTTTTATTTATGGAGCTCTAAATGACATCAAAAGTCTTTTGTGAGCCTAATCGTTAGCCTCCAGCCAGCAACCTGCCATGCTTGCTAATTAATTAGGGAGGTTAATGAATGTCTGAGCCTGTGGCACATACAACTTGGTGTTCTCAGCTGTATCTAATCAGGAACATTCAACACACAACACCCAACCTGTTCCTTTCCTTTGGCTAACTCATCCCTCACCTCCAGCCGAGCTCTCCCTGCCCTAACTCACCAGTTCCTTCTGCTTTGCATGTTTTCCATAGGAATGTTCTTATCCCTGAGCTTTGGGAGCTGCTGGAACGTGGCCTGAGGCAGTGAGTGACCCTTGGCCTGTGCAGTGACTGAATCACCTCCTGTCTGTGCTCTCACCTTTTCATATTGAAAGGTTTTGCTTGGAAAACTGGGGGAAAATTGCCATTTACTGGACTACTGTGTAGTTTCCTCGGGGAGGGAAAAGGTTTTCCTGATATTTTTAACCTTTTCTGCTCACTTTGTACTTGGAATGAGCTGAGAGTGATAAAACTCCTCCCATAGCTTTTCAGAGCTTTTAACACCCCAGTGCTCCAACCCTCTCAGCTTTTGGCTTTGCTTCCTCCCACACCTCACACATTGGCCTTGTTCTCCTTGCTCCATGTTCCTCTGAGGGTTCCAAGCCTCAGAGATGGGATGAGATGGTGCTGGGTGGAATTTACAGCCTATGTGGATCCCTCACCCTAGGAAACAGCATTAAAAGGGGGAGAGGGAACATCTCTCCCTCTGGGGGTGAGCAGTGGTTGTCACTGCACAGGCCAGAGAGGAAGGAGTGTGGCTCTGGGCCTGTGCTCTGAGCTCAGCTTTGTGCAAAATCCTTTTGGTTGAAGCCCCTTTTTAAGTGCCTTTTCTTTTCATCATCAGCTTTTCCCTTCCCCTCCCAGCAGCAAAGGCAGAGCTTCCACTTGGAGCTTTTATGTCCTTTTTAAGTGGTTACAGTTATGTTTCAATAAACCACAGCATTGTCTTCATGGTGTTAGTCTCAACAGCACTGGCTGAGGGAGTCACTGCCACCCTCTGAGGGAGCTCCCACCCTTTATTGTCACCCCTTGCCCAGCATTAAGCTTCTCCTTGCTTGAGGAGAGGTTTCTCCCTCTTCTCTAGCCTCAGCTGCGGCCTTTTTCCCCCCCTTCAAAGCTCAGAAAATAAAGGTTGGGCATCATAACTGAAGCTTTCTCAGGTGCTTTGTCCCACAGAAAGTGGTGGCAGCTGCTTCTAGCTCTGTTACCTCTGTCCTTTTATCATCCTTTGCAGGAGTTGCAGCTCTGGGTTTGGGTTGGCTTCTCCTGGGGAGTGTTATCATCCTCCCTGGCTGCAGCATCTCACTGCTCCTGGCCCAGAAGCTGATCCCAGACCCTTGTACCTGCTCTCCTGCCAGCCTCTTCTGCTGGACCATTTCTGGCCTCAACTCAGGTTCTGTGTCTGCACTTTACCTTTGCCTTCTGATTTCCAGTTCTGGAACCTTTGTGCTGGAGCAGCCTGGACATACCTGTGCTGGTTATCTCCAATCATCCCCAAGGTGATAGCAGAATCATCCAAGCTTGGCTCTCTCATCAAGCAGATTCCTTAGGTCTTCCTTGCTCTGGAAACCTCTCTGGTGTGACCATGGGGCAGAAGGTGGTGGGTGTTGACCTAGGGCACATTTGGCCTCACCTGGAACACATCACTTCATCTTAGATTCACATGGAGCATGGTCAGTCACCCAGGCAGGACTAGACAGCCCTTGCCAGCCCTGTGACACCCCAAGTCACCTCTGGCTCACCCAAACACAAGTCCCCAAGCCTCTTCTGCCTCCCTGTGCCCTGCACCCACAGCCTGGAGCTGCTTTCACCCAGGACCACCCCAGAGTAAAGGCCCAGGACTGGCTTTTGCTGATACAACAGACAGAAACATCATCCAGTGATGGATTTCCATGGCCTTTCTCCTCCCAGTAACCTCCTTTGGCTGCTGCATGATGGGCACAAGATCCTGGACCTGCTTTGCTGCCTGGGATGGGGACAGGACACAAGGAGACAAAGCCACCTCAGATCCTTAGGGCAGCTCAGGAGTCCCAGAAACCTCAGCCCAGGGGACATGTTTGAGCCTCAGGGAGATGCAGGAGATTCAGTGCCCTCCCATCCCACACTTTTGCATCTCTCCTTACCCTCTCATCGCACCCTTTTCCATTCCACCCTGCCTTCCTCTCCCACCTCTTTCCATCCCTCCTTGCCCTGCACTGTTTCCCCATCTGCTTCCATCAATAATTCCAGCTACTCACCCAGGGATCCTCCCAGATGTCCATGACAGTAGGATTGTCAAGCAGCACCATCAATCCCTAAGGAGCTGCTTCCCTCCTTGGGGGAGGAGAGGGAGCCCAGGCTGCTCCTGCCTCACTCTGAGCTGTCTGAAGCCTTATCCTGTTTCTCCATGACCATGGAGACCTCCCAGTGTCCAACCCCCATGTTGCAGGCTGTGAGCAGTACTCCCATTCCTGGTTTTTACTTGGAAGTACATCCCCACAGGGCTGGGATGGGAGAAAGGGCACAGCAGGAGCCCCAGGGCCTGTGCTCAAGTCTCTGCCAGTGTTTTGGTTTTGAAGATCTGAGGATAAATCAATCCAAGCCACCAACTTTATCCTGTCACTTCACGCACTGCAGAGGGAGGGGTTTCTGAGATGTCCCAGAACACCACCAGGAGCATATATCCCTTAGCCTTCCTAGCAGCTTGTTAAAGACCTCTGAGCCAAGGATTGTCTAGGACAGTCAGACAAATCCAGGGTGGAAGTGAGGTGGAGCTTTGGGAAGGTCATGCAAAAGCTGAAGGGCACAGCCACCCCCTGGCTCTGTCCCTGGGGCAGATCCTGTCACCTGCTCAGGTGCTGAGACAGAGGACATGGATTGTCCCTGCTCTGCTCCCAGAGATGTGACTCCAACCAAGCCATGACTGCTGCCCAATACTCACAGCCCAGTGACCACTGCCCCCAGACCATCACTAGCCCAAGTGGTGCCCACAGAGGGGCCCAGAGGTGACCACTGAAAGAGAAACAAAGTTTGTTCCTGATTTGTACAAAACTGCTTTAATGACAAAACACTTGGAAAAGACCTTTTGGGGCATTTCTGGTGCCATCAGTCAGCTCTGGGTGATCCCCAGAGACCCCTCCAGGTCCCTCCCAGGATCACCCACAGCCCACAAGGCTGCGGAGCTCTTCTCAGGCACCTTCTCCCAGCGCAACACATCCCAAGGGAAAGGTCTATCCTCAACACCACACACAAACCCCTTCAAGACCCTCCACTAAGGACAATTTTCCTTCCAACCACACCAGTGTGGGCTGGAAATACCTCTGTGATGTGCTGTGGCTTTGAGGTTCCTCAAGTTCAGGAGCACTTTCATTGCCACCACCTTTCCCACCACTGAAGCTCCATTGGCACCCACTAAGGGAGCCAGACAGCAGCAGGAGCTCCAGCAGATGATGCTTCCAGGCTGGATCCAGCCCAGCCAAGTCCCTGAGACACTGGACAACGTCTTGATGGGCACAGAACCCAAGGAGAGGGCTGGAGAAAGCAGAGTCCAAACCTCCTCAGCAGCCACTGGGCGAAGGGGCAAAGAAGTACACAGCCAGGAGGATGAAGTAGACCATCACCAACACTGTGCCTGGGGCATACAAAACAGGTTGGAGGAGGTTAGTCCCTGGAGCAAGGAGGGAGGTTCCTAGGAGGAGCTAATCCCTGGAGCAACCAGGGAAGTTGCTTCTAAGACCTTCTGGTGTGGTCTGGATTAAGCCACTATGGAGTACCTTCATGGTCCTCTGCAAAGTCTCAATTAAAAGGGGTTTAAACTCCCTTTTGAGGGTGAAATGGAAATGATTTCCCCTTGGAGCTGCTGCAGCATCTCCAAAATGGTCAACCAAGACCTCAGGGTTACTCCAGGTAACATGCCAAGAGCTGCAGCAAGCAGATGACCTCCAAGAGCCTCCCACCCCATACCCAACCCATCATGGGGACACACCAAAAGTGACACCAGAGTTGGATCCAAGAGCCTCCCACCCCACATCCCATGGATACACCCAAGTCCCACAGCAGCCTCACAGGCCAGTGGTCACCTTGGAAGTAGTCACATTTGCCATCCATGAAGATGTAGTTCATGAGCACCACACTGAACATGCTGGCGTAGACATGGAGGTCGCTGAAGACAAGGGTGAAGTTGGTTGGCTGCAAGGCAAAGGACTTGGGGTTTATGTCCAACCAGAACATGTGTCACCCCTTAGAGCTACTATGCCACATGACCCTAGGCTGGGGACAGCATCAGCCAAGGTAGGAGACATCTGACCCCACTTCCCTATACACTGGGGGTGACAGCTGTGCCCTTGTCATGGCTCATGGACACTCCATGGCCCCAGCCCTGCTCAGGAGGTTACCCAGGGGTGTCCCCAGGGGTACTCACGTAGAAGATGGTGAAGAGCACCAGGATGGGGATCTGGAGCATGCAGACCTGCACAGCAATGCAGTTCCCAATCTCGATGCTGGGGAGGAAGGAGGACTCAGGAGCTGCCAAGCACTAGGTCCTCCAGCAGCCCCTGGGGCAAGGAAAACCCACCCTGGGCAACCCAACCACATTCTGGATCTGACACCATGTTTGGGTGACTTAAGTCCCTTCAAGAGGGAGTTGACAGAGATCTGACCCACCATGCCCATCATGGGCACTGAGGTGATGGGACCATGCTGGGGGAGGACGCCCCAAAACTCCTCTCACCTCAAGCTCAAGTTGTTCTGCAGAGCAAACTGGATACCATTGACAATCTCTGGCAGCTCAGGGACCATGGCCAGGACAGTGACACCAATGAAGTACTGCAGGGGAGAAGTGACACCAGCATTAGTCCAACCACATCCAAACCACGGGCAATGCAGTACTCCAGTGCCTGGAGAACTGCACACAGTTGGGGCTGCTCAGCCTGGAGAAGAGAAGGTTGTGTGAAGACCTCAGAGCAACATGCCAGGACCTGAAGGGGCTCCAGGGAAGCTGCAGAGGGACTCTTCAAAGTCAGGTTAGCTAAAGCCTTGAGCAACCTGCTCTGGTGGGAGGTGTCCCTGCCCAGGGCAGGGGGTTGGGACTAGATCATCTCTAAGCTCCATTCCAACCCCTTAACATACTATGAAACAAACAAGTTCCTCAGTGTGTGAAGCACCTTTTCCCTGCTGTTTTGGGGGCTCAAACTGCAGCCAGAGGAGGTTCCCATCCCTGGAGGGCACATCTTGGTCCTAAGGACCACCAAACCATGCCCATACTCACCTGTGAGATGGTGGAGTTGGTGAGGATGGGGCTGATGTGCTCTGTGGCCAGGTCAGCACAGGCTGACATGCAGAGGGTGGAGAGCAGGAGGATGACCAGGGCCCTCCAGCGAGACCAGTGCACCACAGCACTGTGGTGGTGGCCTGGCACTGAGGAAAGAGCAGAGACATGGTAGGACACCCCAGGACAGCAAGAAGAACCACCAGGACATGGTGGTTTGGGGACACTCACTGTGACAGTCGCTGATATGGATGTCATAGATGTGCGAGTGAGTCTTCAGGGTGAAGAAGAGGCCAATGAGGTAGGCAGCAGGGAGCAGGAGTGACACTGTGTACACTAGGGGCCTGTGGGACACAGGGGACACGCTCAGTGCCACCAGGAGCTGGCAGGAGACCCCTAGGGAAGTCCCCTGGGGGTGGAGGAGATGGGGTGCTGGGTAGGGTCTTCATTGGGGTGGAGACAGGACTTGGGAGGGATGCAGGAACATGACCCAACCAAGGTGCCACCCCAGGGTTGGGGACAGCATTGTCCCCAGCACAGGACACTCACTGGACGTGGCTGTAGTAGAGGGTGCCATTGTTGTCCATCTGCAGAGAGAGCTCCTGTCAGTAGGGAGGCAGGGGATAGGGACAGCCCCACTGCCACCACCAAGCACAAGGGCCAGGTGGGCTTGGAGCATCCCCAACCTCAAACCCCACAGCTGGGGGTCCATGTCCTTACTCACCAGGTCAAAGTGACAGTTGTGGCAGAGGTAGTGGCCCAGAGGGTTCTGGGTGACATTTTGGCACTCACCACAGACCAACTTCCCATACACCTTGGAGAAGAGTGTTGGGGCAAAGACACCTGTGGGGACAGAGGGACATGGGGTGGGTGTCCACCCTAGTGGGACCCCCCCCAGAGCTGGGGACACCCCTGTCCCTGTCCCCACTCACCTCCCACGGAGAGGAAGAGCAGGGCTGAGCTGACACCTGCTGAGCGGCTGTTGAACCTCTGCTCCTGGTGCCTGATGCCTCCAATGACCATGCACAGCCCCTGGGGTGGAGAAAATGGATTAGGAAAACAAAGGACTTGGGGTGATGGAAAACCACCCATGAGCTCAGTGTGAGCTCACAGCCCAAACCCAACCCAGGCCTGGGCTGTGTGGCAGCAGGGCCAAGGAGGAGATTCTCCCCCTCTGCTCTGCCCCACCTGGAGTGCTGCACACAGCTCTGGTGTCCCCAACTGCACAAGGACATGGAACTGTTGGGGCAAGGCCAGAGGAGGCCACGGAGCTGAGCAGAGACTGGAGCACCTTCCCTACGAGGACAGGCTGAGCGAGATGGGGCTGCGCAGCCTGGGGAA